TTGTTCCTCCATTTGTTTTCAAGCACTCTTGTACTCGTTCTGGCATTGAATTCATTAAAGTTTTGATTACTTCATCAGGCACATTTTTCAAATGATAAGAGATAGAAGATTTCAAATCTTCCAAATTGTAAAGTTGTTCTTTACCAAGCTTGTGATCAAACCACGACCATAAATTCTCTATTGGATTCAAGTCTGGACTATTGACAGGCCATGGAAGCACTTGAATTTTATTAGAATTGAACCAATCGCTAACAAAATGCGCTTTATGACACGGCGCATTGTCTTGCTGGAAAATAAATCTATCTTGCAACTGCCATAAATCATTGCTAGGAATAAGCGAGTTTTCCAAAATTTCGATGTACCTTTGTTTGTTGAGTCTACCATCGAATAAATGAAAAACGCCAACTCCACAGGCACTCATACAGGCCCAAATGCCTATTGAACCACTGCCTTGTTTTGTTCGTTTCAAAATGCATGATTCATCGAACCGTTCGCTTGGAAGTCTACGCAACATAACGCGACCTTTTCTGTTGTCTACCTCAACGTTCATTTCATTACTAAAGACCACACGGCTCCACTGATCTGTTGACCAATTTTTATGTAGTTTGCACCACTCTTTCCTGGCAAATTTTTGTTTTTTATTTAAGCGTGGTTTTTTTGCAGCAGCACGCCATAAATAATTTAAATTGTGGAGGACCCTTTGCACAGTTCTAGGGCTTGCTTTCAGACCATTTGACAGTGTCCATTTTGTAGACAAGTCTGTAGATGATGCTTGTCTGTTTTCTTTCATTAATCTCACTAACGAGCGAACATCACGGTCATTTGAAATTTTATTGCGTCCAGTCCTATGACGATCATTAATTGACCCAGTCTCTTTGTATCGTTGAATTATGTTAATAATGCAAGACTGAGACCTTCCGAGCTTTTCTTCTATTTGTCTGATGCTATAGCCTTCTTCTTTTAATACAAGAGCCGCGTATCTGTCTTTTTCTTCGATCTTTGCACGCATTTTTGCAATATTTTTATATCCTTATTGCAATTCAAAAAATAAATGTTTATTTGATATCGAAACTCAGGTTTCGACATTTTATTTTATAGCCAACATAATAAGCAACTAAGACAGTTAAAAAAAATAATCGAATATTATTTTTAATAAGTGCAAATTAAAGATTTGAAAGTGGTGGTTAAATTTTGTCCAATTTATTTAAAGAAGATTTATAAGTACTCATCAGTTTTTTAATAAGTTAAACGCTATTTAATTAGAATTAGATTAAAAAAATTATACCATTTTAATCCGTATGTTTTAATTAACAAGATATTAAAAAAAAAAAAAATTAATATGTCAATTAGAATCTTCTTAATTTTGGTTTAAAGATTAAGAAACCAACTAAAAAATGAATGGTCTTTAATTTTTGGCCACCGCTGTATATATATATATATATATATATATATATATATATATATATATATATATATATATATATATATATATATATATATATATATATATATTTATATATATATATATATATATATATGTATATATATATATATATATATATATATATATATATATATATATATATTTATATATATATATATATATATATATATATATATATATATATATATATATATATACATATATATTAAATTAAATATATTAACTCTAGAGAAAACCACATTATGCCAATCACTTAGATTCAACTATGTTAATTAAATGAGTTCTCTATAATTACCTTATAATCATGTTGAATTTTTGTATAATTGGTTCTTAGCAAGGATTGGTAATGAGATATTTTTGTTTTATCAAATGCTGTGAAATTTGAAGGATATCAAGGTCTTCAATAGTTTTAAATAGGGGTGTCCCGGATAGCATTTTTTTAATATCCGGCCGGATATATGATACCCGGATATTTAACAATTATCCGGCTGGATACGGATAATGTAAGATAAATATTACATTAAGACAAAAGTTATCGTAATAACCCTTCAAAATGTCGAGTTTTATTTGGAAACTTTTTAAAATTAGTGATAACTGTGATTCTATAGCTATTTGCATTCCATGTGGAAAACAGATAAGCAGGGGATGTAGTAAATCTGGTCAGCAGTCAAAAATCAAAGAAATATAACTGGACTTTTATCAGTTGTTATTAATAGAGCTACCAGCTTCACCACCAATATCTCCAATCATTTAACGCCAAAATCCAAAAAAAAAAAAAAAAAAAAAGAAGAGAATGACTTTAACTCCTGCTTTTTTGAACTTGCAGAATATGAAGGAAATTTTGGTAAGAAAATCTCATTCTGTTTATTAAAAAAGTTTTTAATAATTATAAAACTTTTTTGATAAACAGAAATACTTTTTACTAAGTTTTTTTTTTTTAATAACAGCTATATTCTGCATGTTGTGGGTTTGCTGATTTAAGTATTATATACTTGTTATTGAATGAAAATATATAAATAAATCATCTTTAGTATTGAAATTCTTTTATATTACAGAACAAAATGGTGAAATAAATCCTGATCAAGTCTCTCTTGTAAAAGCTGCTCAAGAAGTTGATTTTTTCTTTAATCACTCGATGATACGAAAAGAAGTTTCCATTTCTAAAAGAGTTCTTTTAAAAATGGAAACTTGATGCTGGAGGTGCTAATAATCTTTAATTATTAGCACCTCCAGCACCAACCTCCAGCATCCTCTGTATTTTAAAACAATCGCTCCTAATTAGGAGCGATTGTTTTACAAATATGGAAATATTTACAAGAAAAAGCGATCAAGGCTGTTACCTCAACGTGGAGAAATGTTACTATTTATTCATTATAATGGAAATAAATTTATAAATGAGTGATAAACTGATGTATTTGTTGCGTTTAGTTTTAATAGTGTATGAAAAATAAATTATTATCTTTTTTATATAATAATGGCGAACTTAATAGTTTTAATAGTAGTGTCCCTTGGAGCGTATTTGACACGAAACCCTTTGCAGCCATTGCAACCGGGGAATTGGCAAGAAAGAGTCACAGCACTATAAGAAAACGTGAACGAATATCTAACGTAAGTAAACTTTAAACTAAGTAATGTTAAAGCATATGTTAAAACATACTGAAACAGTTATCAAGTTTTACAGTTTGATTTTCACTTGAAAATTATATTGCGTCAAGCTCTCCTTAATTTTGATCTATAATATTTTTTCCCTCAAAAAAATTATTTCATTATTTTAAAAAATCTACGCCAGATTGTATGCCGGTGTAGCTCGAGTGGGTAAGGCCTCGAAATTCTAATAAAGAAACTAAAGGTTTCCAATTGCAGCCATTTTTTTAAATTTTTTTCGATTACTTTAAAATACAAAATAACTTTGAAGTTTTATAAAGATTATATACAAAAATAAGTAACGTAACGATATTATACAATTTCTCAAAAGATTTTAAGAAAGCTAAAAAAAAACATCACCGGGAGAAAAAATTTGTTGCGTATGTATGATGATTGAGAACTTATGTTATTAATGTGCTCAGGTAATTAGTCCTAATAAGCTGCTGATGGTCTGAAAAAAAAGTTGTCTGAAACTTAATAAAGAAAAAACTATATTAAATAAATAAGAAAGTCCTGCTACTCAAGAAGGTGCTGCTGTGGAGGCAAAAAAAAGAGCACGTTGCTAGAAAAAAATTAAAATTTTTTTTTTTGATAATGAAAAGGTTTTTTTGCTACATTTTTTTTTTTAATATAAATATATACTGCAGCTGGTGCCTTAATATGCTTATTACGTATTTCGAAAAAAACAATTATTTAAAATTAACTATTAAAAAAAAATTATTTAAAATTAACTCTTTGTTAAACGTTTTTTAAAAGGAATAATTTTAATGAATTTTTTCAGAACTCTTTGAAAATATGTATTTAATAATGTTTGTAGACATATAAACTAGCTTATTTTGTAAAAAAATCAAAAATGATATTTTAAACCTTAAGGCGTTTTGAAAATTTGCTTCAATATGGATGATACAACGAATATGTTAAACAAAAACAATATGTTAAACAAAAAAATTAAATATAATTGCTTAACAATTTTATTATAGTAAAAAATTTTATTTTAGTGAATATAGTAATTGTGGCTCAAAGTTTTATTATAGCACTTAAAAATTTTATTATCGTGCGTTGGTTTTTGCTAAGAAAGGCTATATAAATCATTTTTTAATTTTAATACAAACTAATTTTTTTTTAACTTTGTTGCGTTCAACCGTCTCTATATAAACAATGTATATATAAACATATATGCTATTTGTTTATATATATATATATATATATATATATATATATATATATATATATATATATATATATATATATATATATAAAGTGTAATTAAATAGAAAAATACAACTTTATAATGGAACTAAAAGTTTCATGCCTATCGGCAATCTTCAGCCATATATATTATACAAATCAAGAAAAAACCGTTAAAAAAAAAAATACAAAATACAAAAAAAAAAAAAAAAAAAAAAAAAGGAGTAGAATGAGTTCCGACGTCAAAACAAAATGAATAAAAAAACGAATAAAAAAGAAGCATAGTTGTAAAACTGCTAATCACCAGTGTCAAATTGGGCAAGAATTTGATTGCCGATAAGATTGATTGATTAGATTGCCGATATTTTTGCCATTGATTGCCAAGATTGCCGATAGGCATGAAACTTTTAGTTCCATTATAAAGTTGTATTTTTCTATTTAATTACACTTTATTTATATATATATATATTAATCTATTTTGTAAAAATTATTTTTACATTATATTGATCACTCTCAAGTAAACAAGAGGATTTGTATCTCAACCAGATACAATAATAAACAACAATATATATATATATATATATATATATATATATATATATATATATATATATATATATATATATATATATATATATATATATATATATATATATATATATATATATATATATATATATATATTGTTTATAAATGTAAAAAATCCAATTATATAACGTTTTATTCAGGATCGTATGTAATATAAGTAAACTTTTATAATAATTACAAGTCTTTTTTGCTCAAGCTGTTTGTTCGGATTTTTTGCAGTTGTGTTAATATATTTTAAAAAATTGACAAGATTAAAAAAACACGAAACATTTTGTTACTTCCGAGTGAAAAACTTGAAACTTCAATTTTAGATTTGCTCCAAATGTCATCTGCTTCTTAGACCTTTAAAAATGATAGTCATATAGATAAGATTTTATTTAAATTTTTTATAAAAAATCAATATATTAAAGATATATGGGATATATTTTTATGGGATATATTCTAATGAATAAAAAAAGGGGCCAACTATAAAGAAAGTCATCCAAATAGGGAGAGGGGGAAGGGGTTCGAGATAAAAAGGACAAAAAAGGACGTCACTTTATAGATTTTTTATTTTAGTTTAATTAACATGAAAAAATATGTAAATATGTGTTTTTAAGAAGATAATGTATAAGAAAACTTTTAATTTTATTTTTCAAGGATGTAGCAGCAGATTTAAACATCACTGAGAAATCAAATAATTTTTTGGGGGGTTTAATTTGGTTGGGGGGGGCATATTTTATGACGTCTTTTTCAAGGGGGTATAGGGAAAAAGAACAACCGGTGATAAAGGGGGGAGGTGATCAAAAATTGACTAAAAATGATGAAAAAACTTTACGGATGGCTATAAAACTATTTATTTATTACTATTGTAATAAATACAATCTCTTATCCGTGAAAATGATATATCTGTACCAGTTTTATATACTTTAATGCATTTGTATGCAACATAATAAAAATTACTAAGATAATTGCAAAAGAAAACTTGACGCATAAAGGTTTATTTTGCCACAAACTGACGTCAATGCGCAAATCTTTTTGGCTTAACTTTTAGATTAGCGCTTAATAGTATTAAACGTCATGATTAAAAACTCTAATAGTATTCTTTAGTTATTAATCATAATCTTAAGAATGAATTTATTTTAATGACTATGTTTTTGTGCTCTAAGATCTTCTTAGTTCCATTTGTATATCTTTACATACAAACGTCTGTGTAAATGTCTTTAGCATATGTTGAGTTTCCAGGCATTATATGGAATAATTGCGTCTATCTATATATCTACAAAATGAGAAAACTTTAAAATTTTATTTAAATTTTTTTTTATCTTACATATTATCTTATATATCTATAAAATAAGAAAAACTTTAAAATTTTATTTTAAATTCTAGAAATCTTTTTTGCTATATTGTTATTTTTTTGCTATAAATATATAAGCAAGATTGAAAAAAGTTTAAAACTTATTACGCTAAGAGGAGGTCCAAAACAACATTGATGACAGCGCACTTAATCACTGAGCTATCAAATGCAGCAGAAAAACAAAGCTAATTACTTATAAGTAATACGTAGTTATACGTAATTATCTTATAAGTAATACGTAGAGCTTATAAGCTAAGTATCTTATAAGCTCTACGTATGCGGAAAAGGTGCGCATGTTTAGTTTTTTGCTCTTAAATTTTTTTTCAGAATAAATTATTTTACTAAAAAATATTGAAGTAAATAAGGAATAGGTATAGAAATTTTTGGCTAGAAATAGATATGTAAATTGGTAAAGACCTGTATTTTACGGATCTGCTAGAATATACAAGGAAAAAGTATAGAAAAGTTCGGTTTGGAATAGATATACAAAGACCCGTATTTTTACGGGGCCGATCTCAGCTTGTTAATAATAATAACAATATTGAATAGAAACCATTATTTAAAAGTATAACATTTCTTGGTTTATTAAATCTTTAAATTTCAAAATATTAACTGGAATTATCCGGTTTATCCAAAACTGGATAATTGGATAAATGATATTATCCGGCCATATAACTGACATCGAATAATACTGAATCCGGCCCGGATATCCGGCCGGATAGCTTATCTTAGTTTTAGACGTTCAAAGTTTTACACGGCTGTTTCAAACGGAGCTTAACGGCTTCTTGTTATTTTTTGAAAATATTGACTTAAGAGGTGTTACTAAAACTTTTATAACTTTTAAAATATTAAAGATAATTTTGTTTTGTAAAAAGAATAAAAACACCAATAAAATGTTTCATCTTACGATGTTTAATGCATTAATAAAAAAACTTCTTTAAGTTTAAAAAAAACGCGACAAATGATGAAGTTGGCTGAATTCAAGAAATTTGATGTTACTTTTTATCAGAAAAAAATTAGAAAAATTTATTTCTGATAGTTATTCTCAAATATACCCATTGTTTGATTATTATAAAAACAAAAAAACCTTACTTAATTGTTTAAGGATAGCTAAAACAGACTTTATTGAGGTCTGAAAGCAAACCGCACTTTTCGCAAAGTTATGAAAAATGTAGTTAAAAGGGGGATTAGCTGTTAAAAGAGTACATTTTTAAACCTAGGAGTTCTTGTTTTAGAAACTTATTTTCCTAACCCAATAAATTCATTGCATTGCAATATAAAGCCAGATTTTGATTTTGGAATATTTAGTCAAAACATTTAAAGCTTAAGCATTTTTTTTTTTTTCTGTGCATACAGTTCTAATAATATGGTTTTAAGTTGTTAATAAATAAAGACTCACCAAGTCTAATATAATAATTCATGACCAAATTTGAGTTTGAGTTTTTGAATTAACCTCGCTTTTGGTAGTAGAATTATTTTATAGCACTTGAATCTATAGCCTCTTCTCTCAGTAAATAAAGTGTTTGAATATACAAATAGCTAATTGAAATCTTTTAAAAATTTGTTTTTATTCCCATTAAAAACTGTTTAATAATCAGTTGGTTTACTGATAGGTTCTTTAAGTTGTAAACTATCTTTGTACATCCAATTGATATCAGATTCATATTCATGCTAAACCAGAAAAACAATTGCTCCACTCAAAATTTTGATAACGTTTACAAATTCTTAATTTATTGAACTAAATTTTTACACCAACTTGATATGAGATTTATATTCCATTCTTTAACCAGCGAGGAGGTATGTAGAGCAGAGGTACTGCAAAGGTAGAACTAACTTCTGGTGATAAACATCGAATGAATATGTAAAATATCTATAAAAAAATGTTACATATAATGAAGGACAATATATTTTTTAAATTAAATACACAAACATACAAGATGATACCCAACCAACATATCAGTTGCTCTGATCACAAGTTAATATATAAAAGCTAGATTTTTACATACATTTGATGCAAGACTAGTATTCCATTCTTTAACCTGAGCAAAGGTATTGCATAGGTATAAATAACTTCTGAAGATAGGAACAGAATGGGCACCTACCTAATATATAAAATCAATATAATAAAAAATAATATTTTAAACTAACATTACACAGATATTAGAACAGAATAAAATTATCTTATATATAAATTAAAGATCTCATATAATTTATCTTACTTGTAAATAGTTTTTTTTTGTTGTTGTTATTTTTAATTTTTTAAATATTTTAACTCAATTTGATGACCACAAACAAGACAAAGACCTTGTCTATAAAATGAATTTTCGCCACGCTCAGAACACACAACACACTTTCTCACCTTAGGCTTGAAGCTTCCTATCAGCTTTGCTGTGCAATTCAAAGCGTTTTAAAACAAGATGCAGCTTCTGCTCCTGATTTCTTACTGAATGCAACTGTCTTAATTCCTTATTTACGCTATTATGCAAACACTCTCCCTCCTCTTCACTTAGCAACCCAATAGTTTCATGGAATTTTACAAATAGTGGCACATTAAAAATAAGTTCATGCATTTTTCGTGCGATACTTTCATTTGGAAAGCAAGCATGAAACTCAATAGCAAACAAATTTATATATTGATGAAGCTCAGTAATTTCAGCATCGGAAAGAAATTTTGGCCAAAAAAGAATAGGTTGCAACTTATTAAAAACACTTAACACACGTACAAATCTATTTTTAATTGCTTCATCATCAATAACACTACAAAGTTTATAGTGGTTTCTTAATACTATTTTGCAATGATTACCTACAAATACATTACCATGGTAAGCTTGTCGCTCAACCTTCATATCTTTAAGTATAAAAGAAATTTTTTTGGAGGAATTGGAGGAGTTTAGAGAAAATTTAGAAATATTTTTTTTAAAAGCTAACCAACGCGCCTGTAGATTTCCTAATAAACGTAAAGCTTCTGCTGTTTTAGAACATTCAATGCTTTTAGCAGTCCACAAATCATTTGTTCTCACATTCTCATTATGCGACAAAGACGAAACAGCTTGACAATCTAAAGTCTTACACTCCTTCAACAATAACTTATACAGTTTTATACAGCTGAACCTTGGTGTCCCAGAACATCATCGATAAAATGAAAATCTATACCTAGAACAACCTGACTATTTTGCCTTTTAGCTTAAAATCTGACGACTGAATTCTTTTAATGTTGTTGGCAAAATGCCTGAAAACTATTCTCACGATAGTCTGAACCCTGATACATACAAAACAAGTGAACATCGTATACAGACCCTGATGATTTAGAATTGACAACTTCAAAATAGAATTTCATATACTTCCCACCCTTATCACTAGCAAAAAGGAGCCAAACTTCTTCGCCAAAACCGACATCTGAATTAAGGTGGTCGCGTACATAAAGATTATTAAAAACCTCTTCAATATAAGTTGTCAAATTCTTGACCATCAGTACAGATAATGCTTCATTCGCAGATGGATAAATTAACATGGACTTAACAGTAACATGTTCTTTATTGACATGCATTGTCTGCATTTCTTGTTCTTGTCTTATCTTGGGCTCAGATGGGAGAATCTTTGCACCAAAATTGCACAGAATACGTCTTAGTCTAAGGAATTCAGCCGTGGGCATCCTTAATTGGCTATGTAGCTCTACAGCATCAGAAACACTTAACTGCTTAACTAAACCCAACTTATTTGCAACACAACAAAATATTGACTTTTCACAAGACATAGAATCACAAAACAACATAGACAAATCACTTTATAAATCTGAACAAGTTAATAATCGAAGGAATATAAAAGCAAGTTTAGATCGTCTAGCTGCAGCATGCCTACCTAACTTAGAATAAGGTTTACCATTTCTTAACTTAACGTAAGTATATTTTTTACTATTGGTTTTTTAACTGATAAATTCTGTGGATTACTTAATTTAAACCCACAAAATAATTCAGAGGAACCAATGTTGTCGTAGTCTAAATAAGAATCAACCACAACTAAATCCTTATTGCTACTAGCAAAACATTTGCAAATTTGGCAACTGTTCTGGCTTAAATCACTAATTTTTGCAATTTTTTTTTCAATATTAATTTTTTTTAGCAATCTTACATTTTTGGCACGAGCAGATGCAAATTTACACTGAGCTGTTTTAATTTTTTTTTTTTTTTTTTTAAGTTGGAACTGCTCCTCCTGTTTTAGTCTAATACTCATAGTCTCTAATTGAGAACTTAATAAGTTACAATGTGTGTTGAGAGCCCTATTTTTAGAATTTAAATCTGTAATTTCAGCTTCCAACTTAAATACTTGCATTTAAAATTTTTCTATTTGCTCCATATTTGTTTTATTTTCAGAAGTTAATTGATCAATTTGATTCAGTAGCTCCTGACTGTTATTTAAAGTGAAAAAGTCATCTGCATCTGCTGATTATTTTTTTTTGGGTGGAGCTTGTGACAGTTGCATTTTAAAAAATTCTTCGTTTTTTATAGCTTTAAAAATTTTTTTATATTTCTTTTTTTGGCGTGTTAACTTTAGGCACATTTTATCAAACTCGTCATTACTAAGCATATCAAAATCAATTGGCAAAAGAAAACTCATAAAACTAAATAAATTACTTCTTATTTTAAAGACTGTCATTAAAATGGAAATGACATTGTTACTGATCTTATCTGTCCTAATTAATTGCTTAACAAAAGGAAAGTTACACCTATCTTCCCAACCATTTTTCCATCCAATATGTTGTTTTAGAATTTCCCTCTCAGTTGAATACATAGTTATCAAAATAATATTGACTTATTAATCAATATAATAAAAACAAATAAAATTATATTAATTAACAAATATAGATAAAAGTGGATTTAAAAACTTATCTGATAATTCAAAGAGAAAAATTCCGCGTAACTTTGTTTACTTTATACTTCAAAAATTGACTCGCCGAACAGTTGTTTGGAGAATATTCGTTAATAAATAGTTTGGGACGTAACGCATAAAGGTTACGTCATCGCAAAAAAACGTCAACACAAATGTACGCCTAAAACTAACAAGATTAGTTGTAAAACATGACATTTTTGAAAACATATTTCATAACATAGCTAAAGGTACGTAAAATAATTTTTTTATTTTCATTTGCATAAAAGGTTGAAATTTTATTAACTTACGTCATCCATCAAAAAAATTACGTTTTGGATTTAAAAACGATTAATTAAAAAATATAAATGCTTTAAAAACAGTCTTTTTGTAAGAAAATCTCTAGGATGACGCAAGAATCTGATAGAATGGACATTTAGGGTTAATTGTTCCAAATTTCAGCTATCAAGTACAGAGCTATGTTAGGAAATCTTAGTTGGCCCAACTCATGTTTTCCGGAAAATATGCGAAAATTAGAAAAGTGGTTCTAAATTATTATAAATATTTTAATAATATTTATTTTTATACCAATTAATGTAAATATTTATTTAACAAGGAAAGATAGATCTTTTATATTTTTTTAATTGCAAGATGAAAGCTTTTATATAAAAAAGTTACTATTAATTTAAAGTTTGTGAATTTTTATACTTTTTATGCGGAAATACTTTTTTTTTTTGATAAACTCATGACGTCACGCTCGTTTTTATATTGAGTGAAACAGCCGTGTTTAATTACCAAACAATGACGTCATTGTTTTACGTCATTATTTTATAACTTATAATGCTGATGTTATTTTAGTTTTAAATATTAAATAATAATAAAATATATAATAACTAAATAACTTTTTAAAGCTTTTTAAACGAAATATTTGAATGTCTTTTTATATAAACTCTTTGGAAAGCTTTTTGATTTAATTTATAGCTAAATACACCTTAGTCCCTTAATTATCCGTCAATCCGTGTTCATTTACATCATGGTCAAGGCATAGAGTAGCAGCAACGTTTTTAGTAAGCCTACAAAGGTCATTTTTAAGATGGTCTACAATTCTATTCTTAGTCTTGGAGTAGTAACAACAATAATAAATGTCAATAATATAGCACCAATCGTGACTTCTTGTTCACACAAAACCATAGCTATTTTTTCGTAGAGAGATGGTTCTGTATCCGATTAGTCTGTTGACGAGGTGAAAATTTGTGCAAACTGGTATTTGTCTTACTTTGTAGGTCAGTTATTCTTCCATTTATATCATTGAGTATTTTTATTTCAAAATATGCTCAAAATTTAAGCATATTGAAGATATATATTTTTCAGATCACAATCGAGTTTTTCCAATTTTAAATTCTTGCTTTTAAAATAATTTTCAAAGTCTTGATATTCTTAAGTATTTTGCATATTTTTTTCAAACATTTTCACGAAATTTTGCTTTTTATTTTAATTTTTTATTTTTCAATCACAATGGATTTATACAAGTGTATTTGCAGATAAACATAGGACTTGGTAATAAGAGTAAAGCGTCTTTTTTTTGTCCTTCCCATCTCTATATATTTTAATATGTAAAACTTATAAGTATTATGTTAACGGCTAAATAAACAAAGAAATAAAAAAAATTAACTTCCGTTTTCAAACAATATACTGTATTAAATATATAAATTAAAAAAACAAGTTTGAAATATCTAAGAAGGGAGGAGGAGTACAACACACCCTCCCTCTTAAGGATCCCCCCTAGTTTCCAATGAGATTTTCTGCAACTAGCCAAGATTTTCTACAACAATCGGCACCAAAATTTTGACAAGCATCAAAATTTTTGTGTCATTTGTTGCAGAAAAACTAGTGGCGCCATGCCAGCCCTAGTTGCAGAGAGGTAGTTGCGGCCAAATTCTGACGACAGCACTAGTTGCAAGAAGCTACATAGCGTCAAAAATTCGGTATCAACATTTGTAAAATTTAGGGGGTCATAAAGACGAATTTTACTTTTTCAATTTACTAATCTTTTATTTCTTGAGTCAAAATACACTAGTTTCAGGCTTTATGAAGTTTATCTTGGAAAAATTTGATACATCGACCGATTGCATTACTAACTTTTAATTGAATATAATTCACGAAGGGAAGCAGTTATAAATTTTTATCAATAAGAATTCCTTAGAATTTTATCTTTTTTTGAAATTTAAAAAAGTAATTTACTTACTTACAATTTTTATGGAATTATTATAATTGTTATATCAGGTTTTATTTGTCTAAAACCAGTAATTGGCTTTCCTTAATTCAAAACTTCAGAACAATTTTGCTTTATATCGCAGTTTGAAAGGAAATATTTGTATCGTCAGAAAACATTTTAAATGTCGTTAGCAAACAATATTGTTTGCTGGCGATATTAAAAATGTTTGCTACTATTACAAATATCGTCAGCAATGAATTACAAATTTCGTCAGCAAACACAAAAATTGTACATGTATATAAAATTATTTAAAAATAACCAAAGATTTTAAAATTGATCAAAGTTGTTAGCACTTATGCTAGTTAAAATATATGCAAAACGAGTATTGAGAACTACGCTCGGTCGACTTATGTCGCCTTTTAATAAGTAATATTCCGATAATAAATTGGAAATTTGGGGCATATTATTATAATGACGCACCCGTTGAGATGAACAGCGAGATCTGTTAATTTTCAAAATGATCCCCATTCAATTAGTTTATTAAAAAAAGTGACGAAATTAAAAAATTTTATCATAGAGATTTAGTTGTACTTTTTATAAAGCATTAATTTAGCTACAACTATGATGTCGGATTTACAAGAATCTCTTGACCAATTTTCTACTGGAAATGATGATGTTTTTGCAAAGTATCAAAACCTAAATGGTTTCGATCCAAGTTTGTTTAATTTTCCACATCGACCTATTGAAAAAGAAGCTTTAAAGCTCGAAGAACTAGAGATTGTGCAAAGATTAAATAGAAAAAGAAAAGAAACTTTGGATTTGTTAAGTAATCAAGAAATCAAAACTGATTACCAAAATGATGTTAATACAGAGCTTTTTGAGAAAGAACTTCCTTTTTATCAGAGAGTCAATGTCGGAGAAAGTGTGGGTGGGGTATGTTGGAAAATACTTTTTGAAAATTAAAATTTTTTTCTTTGTGTTTGGTGCTTGTATTGTAAAAAGGAAAGATGTTTTTTTACAGTTCTTTCAATTTTATGTTTGTAAATTTATATTTTAAGAAAAGGATGCATGTCCTTGACAATATTTTAGTTATTTTAGTTCTTAATTTGATGTCTATAATATTAGAACAAAAATTTTCCGTAAAAGTATTAAACTGAGAATATAGTTATTAAAAATTTTTGAGCTGAATAAACTCTGACATTATCAAAATACACTAAATTTAATGTAATAAAATCAAATTGATGCGAAGTTTTTATATTTTCAAAGTAAGTTTTAATAAACAAACTAATACTTATTTTACAAACTTAGGTTCCAATAGATGAGCTCAATCAAGCTGGTGAGCTTTTGTGTGAAGCATTGTTCATTCGTGCAAAGTACATGGCACTAAGCTTGCAAAGTTTTAATCCAATTACAGCAAGAAGTCTTCAAACAGTTAATGAAAAATACAGTTTAAAAGATTTCTATGATCAAGTTGCAGAAGAGAATATAGATTCTCCAAGATGTAAGTATTGTTTCACAGAATGGAAAAAAGTTTAGCATTAAAACAGAAAATATTTATTTTTTCAAATATATACTTACTTCCCATAGTCCAGGAGTTACTATTGTGGAGGAGTCTGATTTCTTTTTTTTTAATTTTTTAACCTCTCTCAATCTCAAAACTTCCAAACTAAAATGTGAACTAAAGTTGCTTTGCAGAGAAAAAATTTAGTGCAATGCCACAAGGGTAAATGCGTGCACACACAAATATATATATATATATACAAACCAAGGGGAGGGGGTCAAATATGTGTTTTATTTTGTGATAGTATGCTATGCTGTTGTATTTATATTGTATTTGATTAATTTTTTTAAAATATTTATATTTAATTGAATATTTGTAGTTTCATAAACTATGTTGACTACCGTTTATTTAGGAAAAACCAAGGGCTTTATTTTTTTTGTTGTAACAAATACTTTTTTTCATTCTTAAATTTAAAATAATTAATTTTTTTTTAGTGATATTTATTAAGATTTTTATTCATTTATTATTTATTATTTATTTTATTTATTTACCATTTTATCAATGTTGTCTTGAAGGTTCTTTAATTGTTGACCAAATAATTTCAGTAATCGTACTTCAATTACTTCTTATTAGATTGAAAATAAAAATGCAATCAAAGAAAATATATTCAAAAAAATATTTTTCATTTTAAAAAGTAAAAATATCAGTTTTTAATAATATTTTTAAATAATATTTTTAAATTTTTAAACATAGCTTTTTTTTGTTTATTTTGTTTTGTTTATGTAGAAATAATTTTGAGTTATGAATTGTTTCCAAAAATTGCTTATTAAAATAAACAAATATATTATTTAATATAATGAATGAAAATTAGCAAATTCAAAGATTATGAAGTAATGAAGTTAATTAAATTTGATCATTTTTTTTTTTTTTTTTTTTTTTTCAAGTTTGTTAAAAACATCTGTATTTTTTTAAACTCAAACTACAATTATTTCTATTTGTATTTGCTTAACATAAAATACAAATATTAGTATTTGTGTTTACATTTGGAAAATGTATATTTAATTATGTATATTTGTATTTGAATTTGTATTAAAGAATTTAGAATAAACTTATTTGTATTTATATTTGATAAATTTATTTGACTCTGCATGTCAAAGTTATTTTTGTTTTTTTATTTTTACAATTTTTACCTAATATAACATTTTTTGTTACAAAAAAGTTTTTAAAAATCTTTTAATTATTTTGGTAGTTTTAGAACTGTTTAAACTATATTTAAACTCAAATTCAAAATCAAACATCTAAAATTATATACAGGTTCTAGTTAACGAAAATGATTCAACCAACATTTTTTAATTTTTCTAGTCACAATTGATTTTAATGATGGTGGGCCTTTTACTGTTTTTTAAGTATACATTACTAGATTGCTTTTTAACAAGCTATATGTAGCTTACCTTTCTTGTATACCTTGTATATCTTGTTCTTATATATATATATCTGATATACAACCCTTGGAATTAGGGTCAGCATTTGTCAATGCGGACCTAACTGCTGATCTAAAAGTTTTTGAGGTCGGCAAAAAATCGCAGACCTCATTTCTATGTTTTATGGTAACCTCCTTGTGTAAATTTTTTTTTGCTGACCTGATGCCGACATCCAACAGTTTGAGGTTGGCAATAAACTGCCGACCTCATTTTTTCCTAATTCTGAGGGTTGGATATAGTTTTCAAAGTTTCTCCAAAGCTCTAGCCAAAAAGATTTGTACAATAAAAAACTTTTTGAGTTTGCCACTTTTTTATTAGAATGTTAATCCTATACAATTCAGTTAAAGGTCAGTTTATTATATTTCAAAACAATTGCCTTTAGGACACAGGCCATTGATTGAAATATAATGAACTGACTTTTATATATAATGGTGTCAACATTCAATGGTCTATTCCAACACATGCACTTTTTCTATGTGTAGTACCAAAAAAAGCTAATCTGCTTTCAATCCATATTCAATCCGTTCAATCTTTTTCAAGAAAACACAAGTTTTTTTCAAATTAAATCTAAAATTTGAATATTTGAACTCATTTAAAGAGCTGAGTACAGTTTGGTTCAATTTTTAATCAGAATATTTTTGAATATTGTGGATTAAAAATTTAACTTACCTATTTTTATACTGGCTGTTTGCGCTGTCATTAAATTTTGCTGCTTTTACAACCAAATTGCTTTTCACATTTGTTTATAGAACTAACATCAATGTCAACCAAATAATCAGATGTGAATGGCTAGAGGTATCAATTGTATTTGCAAGATAGGTATCTGAATTTGTTGTTGTTACTGTTGCACAAACTATTGGTTCATTATGGACATACCTCCATTCATCTATACTCATGGTTACAGACTGATCATGAAGCAAACTGGAACAGCTTGTTAAACTGTTCTTGTGAACAGTATCTATTAGTTTTCCACCAATATCAATTCTATTAGGAGGGTTATATCCTAGGCGTAAAAAATGGATTATTTTGATAAACTCTGGATGATCAACCATTCTGAAAGGAGAGTTAGTAGCATAAATCATTCTTGCTATCAGCTTATTAATTGCTTCTTTTTCAGATTTTGTGATTTTAATAAGGTATGAATCCAATTAATTTGTCACTGTCTTGCCACTGCCTATTTATTTGAACGCAAAAAACTTGTTTAATCTGCAGCAGACTAGATTCAGTTTTCTTAACAGAACATTGACTTGTTTGTGGTTCTTCAGTTACCTGGTTGATATTTTCTAAGGGGTCTTGACAAATAATAATGTTTTCGTCATCTTGAACATCTTTCAAAAAATTACATTTACCAGCACTTGTGGTGTGGTTTCTCATTCGAACAACCAAACTTTTCATTTTTATACCACAGCTTTTGCATTTAGCTTTATTACCTTTTTCCCCAAACTTTGCAGGTATTTCATGACGCCAGACATTTTTATTTCTAGTTATATTATTTTTATTTTCAACTAAAAAACAACAACCATTTATAAATAAATACTGTAATTTAAAAAAATTTAAATGAACTCTTATATAAAATTAAAATAGTTATATTTATTATATAAATAGTAATAAAAATAGAAATTAATGTAATTAATTGACAAGTTAAAACATGAGAAATTTTTGATTTTAATGCACTAACACTATAGATGCTATGATAACATGATATTGAAATTTTTTTTGTTAGTTTGTTTTAGTTGGATTGTGATTTTTTTTCGTTGATTAGTTTTTTTTAGTCAGGTTGTACTTTTTTTTATCTTTGTTAGTAAATAAATAAAGATAATTATGGGTAATTATGTGGACCATATTGTGTCAATGTGTTAATACTAACATTAAAGTACCTATTTTTCATTTTTTTGTCTTTTGTGAACTCATAAATTGAACTAATTAATTAAGGTATGATAAGTGATTGTTCATAAATTATGCAACGCCAATTTCACAATAAACAAAACAAAAATAGAAAAACAAGATCAAAATCCCTCACAGAGACTTCAGATAAATAGAAAAACAAGATCAAAATCCCTCACAGAGACTTCAGATAAATAGAAAAACAAGATCAAAATCCCTCACAGAGACTTCAGATAAATAGAAAAACAAGATCAAAATCCCTCACAGAGACTTCAGATAAATAGAAAAACAAGATCAAAATCCCTCACAAAGACTTCAGATAAATAGAAAAACAAGATCAAAATCCCTCACAGAGACTTCAGATAAATAGAAAAACAAGATCAAAATCCCTCACAGAGACTTCAGATAAATAGAAAAACAAGATCAAAATCCCTCACAGAGACTTCAGATAAATAGAAAAACAAGATCAAAATCCCTCACAGAGACTTCAGATAAATAGAAAAACAAGATCAAAATCCCTCACAGAGACTTCAGATAAATAAAAATCATAAAAAGTGAATTAAGTTTAATAAAAATCCCTGTGCAAAAGAGTCTAAGATCTACTTCTGTTTTTTAAATAAATTTAGTGTTGCATAATTTACGGATGATCCCTAAACATCTCTATGATCAAAGATTTGATTTTCAATAGACATTATTATCAGTCTGGTAAGGAGGTTGAGTGGCGGTTGAGTGCAGTGGTCAGGGTTGCCACTCAACCTGGAATACCTGGAAGTAGCATGAATCCCAGGGAAAACCTGGACAACTCAGGGATTTTTTTAAATTTTTATAAAATTCAGGGAAAATAAATTTTCTTTGAAATTTTGTACAAATTTTTTTTTCAAAAATATTTTGCTAATACATATAATAAAAAGTTTGCAAGATCTAGGTGTTGTTGTAAAAGTTTTAGTTAATCAAATATAAAGATTGTGTTTAAGTAAGGAAAATAATAATCTCATTGATGAACCGGAAAAAATATAGAAAAGGCAGGGAAAACTCAGTGAACATAAAAAGTTCAACTCAGGGGAAAATGTTCTTTACTCATGGAAAACTCAGGGAAAAACTTTTAAAATTATAGTGGCAACCCTGAGTGGTACAGTACTCAAGGTGATTTTTTGCCTTATTTGTTCAGGTTTTGGAGCTACAAAGTTTAAGAGAAGGTTATAAAAATAAATAGTTAAATAAGCCTTCTGTAGTTTTGATAAATATAAAAATAAAATGCCTGATATCTAGTTTCTTGTCTTGTAATTATTTTTGACACTAAACATTTGCAAGCAGTACAAGTACGTTTTTACCAAAAAGACTTTATAGCTTTAATGTATTTTCTTGCTTTTTGTTTTGAAAAAATAATGCACCTAAATGTTACAACTCTCAAACTCTCCCTGAACTTGGTAACTTTGATCACCTGTTGTTATCCATCAGTTTATCTATATAAAACAAACTTACCCCCTCCAAGTAAAATTACCTACGTTCCGGTAAAATAAGAGATACATTAGCATTAATTAGAGGCACTGGCCTCGAAAACTTAGTAGAGTCGCACTATGATATGCGAACTGCATGCACAATTTTTTACAATGCAATATCAACTGCTTGAGATTTGCGCCAACCACCAAAAAGCTTTATTCAATATATGAACCAACTTTGAAAAAATATTTTAAAGTTGGTTCATATATTGAATAAAGGAAGATAGTTGCAAAGATAAATAAACTAATCACCAAAAGAAAAATATTTTATAATAAACGCTACATAGGCAACACTGATAAATTATCGATTTCTAAAAATCTATCCAATAAACTAAATGATCATTATCATAATGTTTGGACAGATAAAAATGCTTATGATATCTCAATCTTTATTAACATAAATGATCAACCTGCAAATCCCATCTTTACTTACAATAATATTTTAACCCAACTAAGTGAACTAAAGTCTAGATTACTGAGCCCTGATAATCTATCTTCAATTCTGTTAAAATCGTCCCATCTCAAAATATCTGCATCACTCTGTATTCTATTTAATCGATTAATTGAATGCAATTATATGCCAGATCGATGGAAATCAATTCACTTAACATCTATATCTAAAATAGCAAACCCATTTTCTATGGAGTATTTGCGCTCAATAACTATTACATCTGCTCTGTGTAAAATCTTTGAACATATCTTGTGCATATTTATTGTAAATCATATAAAGCATATCTGAACCACAAATAAAAAATTTGGGTTCGTCCCTGGACGTAGCACAATGAGTGCTATAATTCAAGTAATAGAAGACTTTAGCTACGCAAAAGACAGTAAAATAGTCAATAGTCGCCATCTTTTTAGATTTCTCAAAAGCTTTTGATATCTTAAAAAGATATGGTTGATCAAAACAAGTTGCTCTTAAAACTTTGAATCTTGCTCCCTAGCTGGCTTACATCATGGATTGATAGCTACCTACTACCCAACCATTGTCAGAGTAAAAACAATTGACCATGTAACCGAATGGAAATGTATTAAAGCTGGAGTCATTTAAGGTAGCGTTTTTTAACCTATTTTATCTACATCAAATCTTCCCAGGAAACGCGTGCAGTTTTTCGTCTTGTATGACCACATATGAGTATTTTATTTTAGGCAACTTGGTCACTGCTGTTTGCAAGTTTTATAATATTAATCACCACGGAAAAAACTAACTTTTAAAAGCAAAAAAAAACAAAATTAACAAAATAGGAAACTAATAAATTAATAATTTAAATGATTTGTGTATTGTTTTTTTCTTTAGAAACAAAAATAAAATCAGTACACAATCAGTGGTTGTTATTTTCAGCAACAAAATTAGATAAGGCGAAGCAAAAAAAAAAAAGCAGTCTACATTTAACTACTTTTAAGTCTACTTTTAAAGAGGAAAGCGAAACTATAAATTGCAATGTGTTAGTAAAATATATTTGTATAATTTCAATGTAACAAGTACATATTGTCCCTTTATGAAAATGTCTATGTAATAAATGTGTATACTTTTATGTATAACTTTTTGTGTTATATAATATTTATATCCCCCTAATTATTGGCATGTTTAGCTTATTTTGATAAGGTGTAGACTTCGTAAACGGAATGTCTGTGGTTCGAGACTAACCTTTTCTTAATTTTTTTTTGTCTTTTTACACACACAGAGCTGAATGTTAAAAAGAAACGTGTCTCCGTTAAAATATTAGGGACAAAAAACATACGTACTTCTCTTTTTTAATTTTTAGGAAAAAAAATAAAAAAAAGAAGAAAGCAAAAATTTTATCAAATTTCCGCTTTCCTCTTTTAAAAAAAAAACAAATAAAATATTGGAAAATCATTATTTTTAATGTTTAAAACTGTTTTTTGTTTTTTTTTTTTTGCTTCTACTTACCAAATTTTCTTGCCAAAAATAACAACCACTCTGAAGAAACAAAAATAAAAATAGTACACAAATTATCTTCTATTTAAGTTTATTTTAATTTTATATTTTGTTAGTTATGCTTTCTTTATTTTTGAAACTTTTTTAAGCAACACATATAATAAAACTTGCAAACAGCAGTGATCAAGTTGTCTAAAATAAAATACTTATGCATGGACATACAAGACAAAAAACCACACGCGTTTCCTGGGAAGGCTTGTACATTATTCATACATGATATGAATGATTTTTTACCACCAGATAAAAACCTACAAAAATACGCCAATGATATATTAACTTACATTATCTATGACAAAGATGCAAAACACCTACCTCAATCTATTGCAGTTTGTGTAGCAAACTGGACTACTGTTAATGGCATTATTGATGATGGTTATGATTATCAATAGAGAGTTGTCACTCTAATCAAGTGGAAATTCCATTGCGAATTATTTTAAACTCCAAACTGGAATCAGTTGATTGCTACAAAACCTACTTCAAATTTATAGATCCTGCATATTCTCACATTCTGTACAAGGCCCCTATACTATCGTCTTAAAACAAGAACTTTTTGACATTATAAATGTTTATTTATACTGTTAAAAATAATTAAATTTTTAAATTCTTTGTTATCTAAATAATTAAGATTTTTTAAAGCTTTTATATGTCTATTAAACTGAAATTTTTTTTTCAAACTTGTTTATATAGAATGCATCATGATAGTTTGTTTAGTTTTCAAAAGTATTGCAATATGGAAAGTCATTATTATCTTTCTTTCGAATTTTTAGTTGATCCTTTATTTTTTTTATACGTTTTGAATGACAAGATTTTTCATTTAGCAATGTGTGTTCTTCAGGAAAATGAAAATCTTACTCCATGTGGTTCTATTTGGAAACCATATATATGTGATGTTCCTGGTGATAGTGGTTATCAGTTTGAACTTATCAATGGTGTATTTAGAGTATATGATAATAAGGTCCCTATAGAAAAATCTCTGGCATCAGTAATACATCCTATGCCATGCATTGAGGAGTTTATGGAAGACCAAAAGGTTCTACTGTCATTGTCAACTCACGGACCAATGTACTTTTTTGAAAATGTTCCTCCTATTTTAATAATTTTTTATATTTTATATAATTTATATTTTGTATGTTTTATATATTTTTGAGTGATTTTATCAAATTATCCAAGCAAGTTTTACGTAAAGAACAAATAAAAAATAAACAGTATAAATTTAGTTTTCGACAGATAAAAAACAAAAAAACTTCTATTGGATAATTTGACAATTATTTTATTTGGTTATGATTTACAAAAATTAAATTTAGTGTTTAATAAATTTTTTATTTATTTACAGAAAATCTTTTACCTTTCGACGTCTTCAGTTTTTGGAATCGAAGTTTAAACTTCATTGTTTGTTAAATGATGTAAAAGAGAATGCTGCTCAAAAGGAGATTGTACATCGTGATTTTTACAATGTTCGAAAGGTGAGTTTTGTATTAAATTGTCTTTTTATCTCATTGTTGTCAAACAATGAAATTAAAAGACAAAAAGTCTTCTCTTTTCAATCACTTACAATAGACAGTCGTTTTTGAATCTGATCTCACTTATGTAACTGATTGGGGCTTTCAATGGCTTGTGATTTTTAACTCCAACAAAAATCAGTTCTTTACTGCAAACAACTATCGCAATACTGTTGACATTCCTATATTAATGTATGGTAATCCTCTCTCTGAGTCCTCTTCTTTACTACTTGGATTATTGTTCATTAGTGACCTCTCATGGAAATCATATATACAATTGATTGCTAAATTAGCATCTGCTAAGGTTGCTTTTCTTTATCATGCTTGCCATTTTATTACTTCTGATTCATTCTCTACCTCTACGAATCTCTTATCCATACCTGTATGGAAAACTGTTGTCATTTGGGCTGGTTTTTTTAATGATGCTCTTTCTCTTCTAGGTAAGGTCCAAAAACATATGGTAAAAATAGTTGAACCTGCTCTATCTATAAGCTTGAGGGTCTTTCCTATCATTGTAAAGTTGCACTGTTTTCTCTTTTCTGCTAATACAAATAAAAAAACTATGATTGCTACTCAAATGAGCTATCATCTTTAGTTCTATCAACTAAAACTCATTCTTGCTTGACTCCTCAATCAGCAAAGTCTCATTCTCTCACTGTATCTGTCCCTGCATGCTCTAAAAACTTTTTTTTGTCTAGTTTTTTTCCCCGCATTTCAACTTTTTGGAGCTCCCATCTTCATGTTTTCTTGACTCATACAACCTACAACTTTTTAAGTTTTCTGTCAACTGTTTGCTTGCTCTTTAGCTCTATTCTTTTTTTTTTCCTCCCAACTTAATAATGGTTGCTTGCAGCCTTGTTGGTAGTGAATAAGAATAATAATTAAAAAAATATTTTGTTGTTGTTTCTTTTTTTCTTTTTTTAACCCAATTTAGTTAAATTTAAAAAAATTAATGTTAATGTTGTTTTATTATTATTTTTTATGTTTTAAAACTAAAGAATTGTTTTGATGATTTGGATGTTTTGATAATTTTTTTATTTTTTATTTTTAGGTAGATACACACATTCACGCGGCTTCATGTATGAATCAAAAGCATTTGCTTCGTTTTATAAAAAAAAAAGTTAAAGCACATGGTGATGACATTGTCAATGTTGTTAATGGAAAGCCTCTTACATTGTCAAATGTAAAAATACAAATAATTTTTTTAAACATGTTTTCTTATATCTTTCAAACTTTTGACTGATTTAACAATCTTAATCTTGACAAGGGGTTCTTAAGACCCCTCCCCCCTAATTTAATAGAGGACCAACGTTAAGAACAAAGTATTTTTAAAAGTTGAGTCAAGTATTTGTATAATATTTGAAATCTTTTTTTTATATACTTTTACCTCTAAAACAAAATAAATAAATAAAAAAAATATTTTTTTAAAGTAAAAGATTATTTAATGTAAGAAAAAATTAAGTAAGAATATATAATATACAATGAGTTAATGGTGATAAAAAGAATTGTTGTTTTTTCCAAACAACTTTTTTTACATTAAAGTTCACTGAGAATATAAAAAATTTAAAACAGTTTTTAAAGTTTTATTGGAAGCAGTAAAACAAATTAACAACTGAGTTGTTATATATCATTGAAACCCCCCACAAATATTTTGCGTGTGAAATGTGTTTAGGACAAATTTAAAACAACCAATCATTTTCAGAATAGTTAATTGATAATTTGTTTATTAACTTAAAAATAAAAAAAAAATGAAAACAATTTATCTATTTAAATTATTAATTTTTATTTATTTTTCTTTTATAAAATAACTAATTTTTTATAAACATTTTATAGCAAACTGTATTAAATACTATTTTTATAAACATTTTTAATTTCTTAAAGCTCAGGTTTTTTTTTTTTTTTTACAATTTAATGTTAATTGTTATTTATAATAATTATATAATAGATATTTGAAAGTCACAAAATGATTATATCTTCCTGGTTCTTAGTGCCCAGAAGCTTCAAAAATCCAACGAAGCTTATGAACTACTTTGGGGGCAAAAGTTAAGAATTATAGGCAAACAATCAATTTTGACTCCAGAGTCTTCATGTATAATGGCCACAAGGGACTCCAGGAATTTTTTTCTTTTTGCATATCATAAGTTACTTAACATTTAAGTTACTTAACATTTTTAAAGCTCCTAGACATTAGAGACCAGTAAAAAATGATTTATAGCAGGAATCCTTTTTAGCCCTCTACATCCCAAATATATATATATATATATATATATATATATATATATATATATATATATATATATATATATATATATATATATATATATATATATATATATATATATATATATATATATATATATTAGGAAATATACAAAAACCTACCTCTTACTTTCAATATTTTCTTCCCCCAAAATGCAAATAACTGATACTATCTTTGATCAATTGATAATCTCAACCTAGCAGTCTTAAAACACCTGTTACTTATGAATTAAAGTCCATAAAAAAATAAAGTATAAAATCTTGGAATAACCATCCCTATGACCTAAAAGCACTCCAATCAATCTGTTTTTAAAAGTAACCTATTCCATTCCTTCCTAATCAAATACAGCTAATAAATCTAATTTGTGTATAAGTTTCTGTGATAAGCGCATGTGAATAAGTTAACTTAAATTGCTAGTTTAAGCACTCTGATGTCACACTGAAATAGCCTCCTGCCGGGGGTTTTAGTACATACATCTGCTGACTGATTCGCAGCGTAGTGTTGCTATATTGATTGAGGGTTTAGGATGAGGCAGCAATCTTTTCTTTTATTATTTTTCGTTTTTTTTCTTTTTCTTAAAATGTTGTATGCTATAAAGATGAGCAAAACTATCCAGCTATAGAAGATAAATTTATATATATATATCAACTCTCGGATTAAGGAAAAATGAGGCAGGCAGTAATTTGCCGATCTCAATCTTTTAAAGGTCGACATCAGGTCGGCAAAAAAATTTGATACAATGGTCTTACCATAAAACATAGAAACGAGATCGGCAAAAAATTGCTGACCTCAAACACTTTAAGATCAGCAGTTAGGTCGGTATTACCGAATGCTGACCCTAATTCCGAGGGTTGATATATATATATATATATATATATATATTTGTATGTATATAAATACATGCATATATATATATATGTATATACGTGTGTGTATATGTATTTATGTATATATGTGTTTATGTATGTGTATATATGTATGTGTGTATATGTATATTGGTGTGTATGTAAATATGAATCTATATATGTGTGTTTATATTATGTATGTATACAATACAGGGGGATATAATTATTTGTGTTGATATGTATTTGTGAATATAAGTGTGCATGTGTGTTTTTATATATGTATATGTATGTGTCTATATATGTGTGTATATATACTATACTATATACATGTGACTAATACTAGATTATTATTTTGTTATGATTATTGTAATTAATTTTATTTTTATAATTTTATTTATATTATTATCATTTTTATTGTTATCATTGTATTATTGTTATTGTTACTACTACATTGTTATTGTTATTATTATTATTTTTTAATTGCTAATTACAACTTTTAATGTTTGTTTTGTTACTGCTGTGGACGAATTATATTACTATTAGTATGAACGATATATTTATAAGCTTTTATTTGCAAGGTTTTTGCTTAAGATTAGTTCATGTATTATTTGTAAACATCTATGAGTGTAACAACTATTTCAGAAATATATTGATATTGATTGATATCGTCTGACAAATAGGTAGAACATTTATGGAATGCTGTTACATCAACTGAGGATTTTGGAAATATATATTTATATATATATATATATATATATATATATATATATATATATATATATATATATATATATATATATATATATATATATATATATATATATATATATATATATATATATATATATATATATATATATATATATATATATATATATATATATATATATATATATATATATATATATATATATATATATATATATATATATATATATATATATATATATATATATATATATATATATATATATATATATATATATATATATATATATATATATATATATATATATATATATATATATCCTTATAGTGTAGTCGAAAGAGTCTTTTAATGTAAAAAAAAGTCTCTTTCGACTACAATTTTAATTACCTCGTCTCTTAAGCTGTATTTAATTGTCGTCAAAATGTCAAAGCAATTAAATTAATGCGGAAGTACATTAAATTTTATTGTCTTTTTAAAATTTTTTAAAAAACCGCAATAATAACGACTAGAAAGTTTTTTTTAATTAGTGGTGTTTTTGTTTTTGTTTTATTAAAAAACATTTTTAAAACATGCTTAAATGTTGCTACATCCACTATCTTATAGCCTGCTGCTACAAGGGAGTGTTTCTAAATCAACTATCTTATAGCCTGACTTGCAACGGAGTGCTGCTACATCGACTGACAAATAGCCTGACTCGCAAGGGAGTGCTGCTACATCGACTGACAAATAGCCTGACTCGCAAGGGAGTGCTGCTACAACGACTGACAAATAGCCTGACTCGCAAGGGAGTGCTGCTACAATGACTGACAAATAGCCTGACTCGCAAGGGAGTGCTGCTACAATGACTGAGGGTTTAGTTTGGTCAGGCAGTCTATCATTTAAAAAAAAAAAAAATTTAAGTTTTTAAACTTTTTCTGGTCTGGTTTATTCACGCGCTCTTTAAAACTACAGTTTATGAGAAACTCTTTCTGACTACCATACAAGAGTATATATATATATATATATATATATATATATATATATATATATATATATATATATATATATATATATATATATATATATATATATATATATATATATATATATATATATATATATATATATATATATATATATAATTTATATCTATAAACAGTTTTTTTTTTATAGTTGTTTAAAGAGATGAATATGAATCCTTATGATTTAAGTGTTGATACTCTAGATGTTCATGCAGTGAGTTTAAATTTTGTTAAATTTTAACATAATTTGTTTTAAATGATTTTATTATCGAAGAAATTATTTTTAATAGGACCACAATATGTTTCACCGTTTTGACAAGTTTAATCAGAAATATAATCCTATTGGTAAGTAGTAGGGTTTTTTTTTCTAATAAATTTTATTTAAATGATTTTAATTTTATTTCTATAAATAGACTGCAGTTATTTTTTTAACTCTTGAGTTTTTTGAAAGTCACAATCCCAAAGTTTATATTCTGTGCAATGAAGATTAGTTGCACCTTGTCATTTTTTTCAAGCAATTTTAAAAGTTTAAAAAGAATTTTTTTTTGAAAAAAAGAAAATAGAAATTTTTTTGATACAGGTTTAGCTATATTTAACGCTTCTAAAAAATGTTTGAACAAAATAATAGTTTACATAATTTTACGATTACATGTTACTTTGTTAAAAATAATCAATTATAGATAAAAAATTCCTAAAATCTTTCTTAGTTTAGTATATAATTTAGGTATATGAGAAGTTTGGTAATTTTTTTGTTAAAACTTTGAAGCTAAACTTCTTGATTTTTATCAAGTTGAATTATCATTTGTTTTTGTTGTTATTTTTGGAAAAAGCTCACTTGAACTTTTTAAAGTTATTTCTGCAATTCAACAATTTATTGAACTTTTTAAAGTTATTTCTGCAATTCAACAATTTATTGAACTTTTTAAAGTTATTTCTGCAATTCAACAATTTATAGAACTTTTTAAAGTTATTTCTGCAATTCAACAATTTATTGAACTTTTTAAAGTTATTTCTGCAATTCAACAATTTATTGAACTTTTTAAAGTTATTTCTGCAATTCAACAATTTATAGAACTTTTTAAAGTTATTTCTGCAATTCAACAATTTATTGAACTTTTTAAAGTTATTTCTGCAATTCAACAATTCCAAACTTGTTTTAGAGATATGCAGAGGAAATCTTTTTGCAGGAAAAAAATCTTTTATCTTATTGAGATTACCTTAACAAGATTACAAACAATAGAAACTTTTGCATAAATTAGACGGACATGTTATTAAATATAGCTTTTTACCGCCTATGGTTAGTTATCTAACTGTTTTCAACCATTAAAAGCAAATTTTTTAGAACAAAAAATCCATTAGTGAACTATAAGATTTTAAAAAGACTTTATCCTGCAGAAAACCTCCATCTTTATCCTGTAGAAAACCTCCATCTTTATCCTGCAGAAAACCTCTATCTTTATCCTGCAGACCTCCATCTTCGTCCTGCAGACCTCCATCTTTATCCTGCAGACCTCTATTTTTATCTACTGTAAAATCTCCAGCTTGATATTTGAGGAAGTTTCCCTATTAAGTACTATTTGTACATTTTTTGTTCCTTTCGTTAAATATAATTTAAAGGAAAACATTAAAATTGTTTTTGAGAAATTTATTTTTATATATACTACTTCATTTTTTATATGGTAATATCTCATTTTTTTTTAAAAAAAAGTTTTATATTGTAATTTTTTATTTTATGCAGTTTATATGATTTTTTTTATTTTTAAAGGTAAAAGCAAACTTAGAGAAATATTCTTAAAGACTGACAACTATATGGGTGGTCGATATTTTGCAGAGTTGATTAAAGTAAAGTCTGTTATTTTATACAATCTTGAAATACATGTTTGAATGGAATTGATATAATACAATTACAATGAAATTTTATTAAATTGAACTTTCAATAGATTTAAGGACTTGAAAATTATAGTTTGAGATAAATGTAAAAAATATTTTTTGTTTTAGTTGATGGATATTTTATTGTTTTTTCATTGTTATTAATATTTCTTTTTTATTATAAGGAAGTAGCAAGTGATCTTGAAGAAAGTAAGTACCAAAATGCGGAGTTAAGACTTTCCATTTATGGTCGCGATAAAAATGAATGGGATAAATTGGGTAAATGGGCCGTAGTTCATGATGTGGCTTCATATAATGTTCGTTGGTTGATTCAAATACCAAGACTTTAGTAGGTTTTTTAGTTGTTTTTAATATGCTGTAATTTATCTTTTGTATTTTTTATTCTTGTATAGGTGTATTACTTCATTGTTTTATTTTCAGCTATTACTTAATATTTAAACATTTGCTGTTTAATAAATTATAACTTTAATAACCATAAATAACCCTTATTCTGTGCGTATGTAACTAAGTATATTCTCTGTGTTTGTAACTAAGTATATTCTCCTTGTTTATGTAATTAAGTATTTGTGTAACTATGTAACTAAGTATATTCTTCATGTGTATGCAACTAAATATATTATTCATCTGTTAGTAACTAAGTATATTATCCTGTGTATGTAACTAAGTATATTATGCATCTGTTAGTAACTAAGTATATTATCATGTGTATGTAACTAAATATATTATGCATGTGTTAGAAACTAAGTATATTATCCTGTGTATGTAACTATTATCTGTGTTAATATAACTAAGTATATGATCCATGTGTATGTAACTAAGTATATTATTTGTGTGTATTTAACTAAGTATATTATCTGGTTTGCGGTAAGGCTGAAAAGAACTAATCACTTAATCTAAAGATTAAGTGATTGGATTAAATTTTTTTATGATAGTCGATAGATATAAAAATATTGTTACTTTTAAAAATTTCTACAAAATGTTTCTTTATCTTTTACACTTTTATTCTTTAAGCTAAAATATTTTTTTCATCAACCAAAAAACAATAGTATAACATCTTGATTTATTTGTTAGTAGTTATTTGATATAATATTTATTTAAGCATATTTTATTTTTAGTGTGTTTACTAAAAAAATTTCATTATTTACAGTTTAATTGCACTCATTACTTTATTTCTAAATATTTTTATATTTTAATGTTTTCAAATTTTTATTTATAAAAATTTCTATAAATGCTTTTAAAGTAGAGCATGAATATAAACAGGGTAAAAGATGAACATGAAAATAAACAGGGTAAATGATGAAAAAAATATAACTTGAATTAACAACACACACACACACACACACACACACACACACACACACACAAAATATCACAAAAAGAGAAGAGTAAAAGCTATGGAAAAGAATTCCCAAAGATGGTTTTTTCACCACTTGAAATTCTTGGATGGGTTCCAGCTAACACAGTAAACAAAAAAACAATCAGAGCAATTATGGGCAGGAAATACAGCTTTAAAAAAACAAAATGAAATAAATAAAAGCTGTTGCAGCTGATTTTTCTTTTTTGTTTTCAGGTTTTTGTTTCATTAATTGTAGCATATCATTGTATAATTTTTTTTTTTAATTTACAAAGTTGTATCACTTTTTTTAAATTCAATATAAAATTTTATAAGTTTAGATTTGCATTTATATAAATAATAAAAAGAGTTGGCTTCAAATCATTCTGGGGTACACCAAATTAGCTTTGAGCTATTTTAAGCAAAATAGATAAAGAATTAGCAAAAATTAACAAAATATCTATTGGTTTCTTTTTTGCATTGAAACTTAATATAGTAATTCTCCTTTCATATTAAAGAGCTTATTGGACTAGAACCAGTGTTGAATCTTGAATCTCTTGGTTCTGAAATGGAACTCTAACCACTGCGTCACAGCTACACTATATAAACAAATGTTATTTGTTTATATTTGTTTGTGTGTATATAAATATTTTTTTGAATCATTTTTAAATTTATTATATATACATACATGTATGTGTATATAATAAATTTAAATACAATATAAATTTATTATATACACATACATATATACATTCCATTACTGTAAATAAAAGTTTACATTAATGGTATTTATCATGTCTCACTGCTGTAAATATTTTTATTTTTATAGTGACATTTATAAATCAAACAACCAAATTAAAAACTTTGAAGAAGTTCTTGACAACATCTTTCGGCCTCTATTTGAAGTATCTGTGAATCCTTCGAGTCATCCAGACTTGCATCGTTTCTTGCGTCAGGTAAATTTAAAGTTCAGTTTTTTTCTCAGTTTTATTTATAATAGTTATGTATTAGTATTAGTTTTAGCTTATGCTGTGACAATACATAATAATATGTATTATGTGTTATTGCTACCAGTGAGTGTAGTTTTGTACACACTATGACAGCTGATAACTCGTGATTGTTTGACTACCATTGATCAGTTCTTGCTCTAAATAAATTTACTGAAATAGCTTTGACAACATTTTATGGGAGTGCATTTCACTAATTTGAAGCTCACTTTAGTAAAATGTTTTTTTATAATTATGTACCTGAAACTCTTTCAAGTATTTTAAGCTATGGCCATGACCATGACTGACAAAAATTAATTTCGGGTGTCAAAATAAATTCTTCCTGTTTCATAATAGCATTTTTAGCCATTTTGATCAATTTTTGTCTTCAACAATTTGTTTCACCAGGTTTTTCTTACTATTGCAACACCCCATAGATATTTTTTTTTAAGTTGGTAGATGAATGGTCAATACCCATTTTTAAAAAAAGCTTGCGACACCATTTGAATAATATTCCTAAAATACTTGTCAAACTTTGATGTTCAATATCTGGTGAACATATAAGTAGTTTTTGAAAAATATTTTGAAATTTATCTTTTCATATGAATTGCATCAACATACAAACAAAATTACATTTTTAAAGATGGTCATTGTTGAGCTCTGCCTGATTCTTACAGAAAGTTACTTTTAATGTTTCAATATTGCAAATTTGACTCTGCATTTTTTTCAGCACAATTTTTTGTCATTAAATATAAATATTTGGTAAATAGAATGAGGTAACTATATGAAATTTGGTACATAGACAGTCTTCCATATGGCAGTTTTAACTTTAAAATATTTTTTAGCATCATAACTTCATATAAATTGAATAATAAAGTCATATAATTTGAAAAATAAAGTCATAGTTTGAATAATAAAGTCATATAATTTGAAAAATAGTCACAATTTGAATAATAAAGTCATATAATTTGATATTAAAGTCATAATATTTGAATAATAAAGTCATATGATTTGGTGTGTTTTGACAATGAAAGGAGTGATTTTATCTTTTTTTTTTTTTTACCTATTTACAACCAAAAACACAGGTATTAAAAATCACTTGTTAAGCAAAAAATATGATGCATTTGATTTTTTAAATTCTGCTTTTTGTGTAAAATATTATAAATTTTTATAAAAACTCATTTAAATATTAATTCTAATTTTGTTGTGTTGGAGATGGGCTTAAAGTTAGGAGAAGGAAAAAAATGGGGTATATTTTCGTTCCTTTCTATTCTTTATGAATTCAAAAAAATTATTTTGAACTCATTAAATAAATAAAAAAAATTATTTTCAAAGAGATTATTTTCAAAATCAAAATGTAGTAATTTTTAAATTTGTATTTTTAAAATTTATAATGAGATAAATTTAGAAAAGTATCTATCTTAGTTAAAGTTCATTTAGATTACTATATGTTTAATAATTAAAAATTGAATTGAATTTTTTTTTTATCGTGTACATAAGAAATTGTGACACATTGAAATTTTAAAATTATATAATATGAAATATTGAAATTGTATATTGACACATTGAAACTCTATAATATGACACATTGAAATTGTATATTGACACATAGAAGTTCTATAATATGGCACATTGAAATTGTATATTGACACATTTAAATTGTACAATAATATTATACAATTTAAATGTGTCAATATACAATTTCAATGTTTCATATTAAATATGAAATATTGAAATTGTATAATATGACACATTGAAATTGTATATTGACACGTTGAAGTTCTCTAATATGACACATTGTATATTAACACATTAAAGTTTTATAATATGACACATTGAAATTGTATATTGACACATTGAAATTGTATAATATGACACACTAAAATTGTGTAATACAACACAATGAAATAATGTATGTAAATAAATTATTAAGTAAATTTTTGTAAATTAAATAAAATGAATGTTATTTCTAAAAAGCAATAATTTAATTTAATTTTTTAATCTACTAAAAGAGATTTAAAAAAGTAATTTAAAAGTTTTAATCATTGAAAAGTGTTTTATTATATTAAATTGAAATGTTGATTGCCACAAGCAATAAACATTTCATAGTTGATTGCTTGTGGCAAAACAAAAGGTTTTTCAAGAATAGAAACAACTTTTTTACAACTTTTTTTTCAAGACTTTAGCACCCATTGACATTTTCAAGAGATAAGTTAATATAACAAAAGTTAATATGGAGACTTTATTGTAGAAAATTGTTTACAACAGTTTGCTGTTTTTTTTATTGCAGAAAATTGTTTACAACAGTTTGCTATCATCATTAATATTTTCAGTAAAGAATTAAATATGAAGATGGTGTTAATTTTATTGAACAAAATTGTCATTATTATACAGATTTACATTTAAACAATAATTTCAATCTATTTAAAAAACACAGAAATAGGAAGAAAAATGTGAACATTTTATTTAATTTCAAACTAGATTAAAAAATTGTTCAGAAAAGTATTTAAAAAAGGCAAAAAAATCACTAATATTATTTGCTTTGAAAGTGATATTCAATATTTAAAGTTGTAAATGTTTTTAAAAAGTAATTGAAATGACTATTTTGATTACAAAAGTACCCCAGAGCAATATATAAAGCAATTTCATGCTTGTCAAAGCACAACAACTGTCTCAATTTTTGTCTTAAGTCTTCTGATTTTTAATATTACATAGATATATAAAGGTAATTTTTGGAATTTAGTGAGCATATATTACGAAATGCAAAAATATAAGCAAAAGAAATTGGGCTGGTATGATAATCTTTTATTTGTGCAAAAAAATGTAAGACTTCACAGCATGACAAAAAACTTTCTAATTGTTTTTTTTATTTTTATATCATTACCATCACCTTATATGAACCTGAATTATTAACTTGGTATTAAACAAAATCTTTAGATATTGCTTTTATGTGTTTTATAGCTAAAAAATAATTTTAAAAAAGTTAAATTTTTATCAGGCATACCCTTAACTTAGTAATTGTAAATGTTATAGCATGATGTCACAGCATGGCCAGGTACTTTAGGGTATTCATAAACCAGGTTAATGGGCTATTAACAAATTTACCATTTATTTTTAATAAAATAACCAGGTCAATGGGCTTTTTAAATTATAATTTAATAAGCCCATTAACTTAATTTTTAATTAATTTAAAATGCATTAAAGGTATTAAAGAAATAATAAATCAATTTATAGGTTCTCATAAAAATAATTTTTACACGGTTATTCTAGAACACGTCCACGTTCAAGTTCATATATACAATGTTTTAGAGTTTTTTGGTGTAATTATCTAGAGACTTAGGAATAAATCAACAGTTGTTTCACTAGGTACTTTGTATTTGATTGATTTTTATGGTTTTATTATTGCTTTACTTTTGGTGTTCAGAAAATATACCTGTTTTTGCTGGTGCTTTTTTAAATAATTCATCAAACTTTTTTATTGTATGATGTTTGGTTACAAACATCTTTCATAGAAACAAAATAGACATTGAGCTTAGTCTCATTTTAACAACTTCATAAAAAATGGCATCAGTTGTTAATACTTTTCTCTAGATTAATTTTTTCATTGCATTCTTTTGATGGAACCACCACTAGGATCTTCTGGTCAATGCCATGAAGCAAAAAAAATGTTTTTTAATAAACTACTCAACGCATCTGTCCAAACATATATTATTTTTACACTTGGTTTAAAACAGTTAGATATTAAATTATAAACAAATACAATAATAGATTTCTTCCAATGACTTAAATCATGTGTAACTATGACAACTGGTGAGCATAAATCTTGTTACCAAAATTTAGCAGTAAACACGTTAACTTGCTTCCTATTCCAATGTGATGGCTGCACTTTATTTTGCAACAAAGTTGAACAATATGCAGCAAAATTCTATTGAAGAACAGCTGTGTCAGCAAAGTTCACTGGAAGAACAACTGTGTCTGCAAAATTCACTTGAAGAACAGCTGTGTCAACAAAATTCACTAGAAAAACAACTGTGTCAGCAAAATTCACTTGAAGAACAGCTGTGTCAGCAAAATTCACTTGGAGAACAGCTGTGTCAGCAAAATTCACTGGAAGAACAATACTGGATCACTATGAACTCTTAAGATAATAACATGACTTTGTTTCTAATAAAATAATGTCAAAGAAATAAAGGTAGAAGTTTTGAAAAGGTGAAAAGTGTATCAAACTTGTGCTTCAAAGATAAAGACTATGTTTACCAGAACATTGTCTTTATCTTGGTATCAATAAACGCTTCTTGTATTAAACTAGACAAAAACATGAAATTTACAAGTTTACATGCGAAGGTAAGTTTGCAAATTTTAATTTTCCGACTGATTCTTAATCTTTTTTAAAAAGAGCATTAACTTCACATTATTTAAAGCCAAAACTTTTAAAAAAGTCTTTTAATCTTACCATAATCTCTACTTTTTCTGGTACATGATAGGAAATATCATCACAATGGTAAAAATATTAAATCAATTGTAAATATAGCTAAAAGAAGCTAATTTAAGCTAAATTTTTTTTGAACATGTCAGTATTTTTCTTGATCTATTACATAGTTGTTCTAGAATTTTGGATTCCTAAGTTTTATTGGTTATTTAGAAATAAAAATCTTTATTAGGGTATCTATTTGTTACAACCTGACAAATAGTAGCTATCAACATTAATTAAAATGAATGCTGTTTTCTGAATTTTTGTTGCAAATTTTTTGTATTATAATTATCAATCATTAGTGCAGCCAGAAAGATTACAATGCTCAAAACAGTTTCTAGATTTTTTTTCATAGTTCCAACATTTTATATTCTTTTTAGATTAAATTGAACTTTGACAGTTGAAAAAGAATTTAAATATAGTAAAAACTCATATTTTTAACTTCTGTTTCATCCATTATAATTTTTTATGATTGTCCATAAATTATGCAACACTAAGTTTCACTAATAAGCAAAACAAAAAAGATCAAAGGTTATCCCTCACAGAGTTTAAAGTTAAAAACAAAATCAAAATAGTGCATTAAATTTAATGAAAATCACCACGTAAAAGAACTTAAGGTTCTTCTGTTTTATTCTACTTCTGTTTTATTCTACTTCTGTTTTTTAAATAAATTTAGAGTTGTGTAATTTATGGCCGATCCCTAGAACTATTAAAAACCTAAAAAAGACTTCCTGAAGAGGAGCTTTCTATTGATATATATATGGTGTATAAAGGTTTGATTTAATTTTTAAAATTTTTGTGAGACAAGCGTGGAATTGCTGTATATGCCTTTATTATTCAACTTACATGTAGTTAAAAATAATATGGTACTTAAATATATTTAAATATGCAATGTGGAAGATTTTCTATTTACCAAATTTAAACTCTTTAATATATATGCTCATGAAAAATTTTTAAAAATCTGAAAGTTTGAGTAAAAAACTTTTTACGACTCTCTGGATATTAGGTTTTAATTTTAATGACTTATGCTGACTCAGGATTTTTTGTAACAATTTTTTGTCATTTTTTGAAGTAATTTACTTTGTTTCTTTGAAAAAAAAATTTACCTTGTTTCTTTGCGCAGCTACCTTGTTTACCAAGGTTTGTGTTTCAGAGAAGTAAAAAAAGATTGCAAAAAATAAAGTAGGAAAAAAAAGTAAAAATAATATTATAAAATTACTATGAAAAGTAGTAGTTTTCAAAAAGTTATTAAAAATTATTAAAAATATATAATAAAAAATTAGCAAAACCCAAAATATAGAATGGCATATGCCTGCTGATTTGACATTAATGTTATATACACATAATGGAAAACCTATTTTGGTTTTCTATTATTTGATATAAATAGTTTAAATAACACCCAACACAACTCTAATTACAAATTTAAAAATCAAAGTAAGTTAACTGTGAAATTTTTTTTTTGTTTTTTTAATTGCATTTTTTATTAAATAATATATTTTGTACTATATGTTTTGGCTAATATAGTAACATACAAGGTAGCAGAGACAGCAAGACAATATGTTTTGAATAACAGAGTGCATAGAGTGTAGACAGCTCAATCAGATAAATATGCTTGATGTACAGTAAAACATGTTTTTTGACAGTTTAATGGAAGATTTTTTAAGGGACAAAGCTTTCTTAAAAGTCTTAAAAGTACTAAAATTTAAAATTAAAATTTTAAAATATAAGATTTAATTTAAAAATATTTAACTATTAGGTTGCACAATTATTTTTGATTTGAAAAATTATGCATCATTAAACAAAATTTGAAAAATTGTTTCTCATAAAGTGTTTTAAAATTATATTCTTTATAAATTATACTCTTTCTAATAAAGTTATTAATTTTGTTATTATCTTTCTTTTATTAAAATTATTTTAGGTTATTGGTTTTGATAGTGTTGATGATGAAAGCAAGCATGAGCTTGTTGCTTTTACAAAAAATAGTTTGTTACCCCAGAATTGGGACTTGGATCATAATCCTCCTTATGCCTATTATTTGTACTACATGTATGCAAACATAGTCGCTCTTAACCATTTAAGAAGGTAACAGTTTAAAAAAAATTTGAATAAAATATATTTTTTATTACTTTTACCTTTTAGGGTTTATTGTTTTTTTTGCTTACAAATATAAATGTACAATCTAATAGTTTATCTAAAGACTAGTTTAGTTAAATTAAAGTAGAAGACTTCATGAAGATTTTTTATTTTAGGAAACAGGGTCTGAATATATTTTCTTTACGACCGCATTCAGGAGAAGCTGGTCCAGCTCAGCATTTAGTATCTGCCTTTATGCTGGCTGAAAATATTTCTCATGGATTGTTGCTTAGAAAGGTATTTTATTTGTAATTTATAAACTTGTAACTTGATAATAATTTAAAAAGTTTATTTTATAGGAAATAAGTGGTAACTGAATTTGGATACTTTAAGCTTACAAATGTATGTTAACTTTATAAATACTTTTAACAAACAAATCAAAATAAAACAAGTTTTTTAAAGCTAATTGATTTTAATACTCTTTTGTGGCAAAAATGACCCCCCCCCCCCCCTCCTTTCCATTCCATAATTATTAAATAAAATGGTAAAGGAACAACTTCAAAAAAAAATTTTAATAACAGATTTTTAATTTGTAAATTGAGATAACTTTTTTTTAAATTTTTGTAATAATACTTTTATATTTTATATATATATATATATATATATATATATATATATATATATATATATATATATATATATATATAATTTATATTATATATATATAATTTATATTTTATATATATATAATTTATATTATATATATATATATAATTTATATTATATATATATAATTTATATTATATATATATAATTTATATTATATATATATATAATTTATATTATATATATATATATTATTATATATATATATATATTTATTATTATATATATATATTATTATTATATATATATATTATTATATATATATTATACTAATATTTTTTTAATAAGTTTGAGCAGCAGTTGTGATAGAGTTTTAAAAAAAGAAAAAGAAGTGCAACCTTACGAAGAAGTTTAGCTGCTAGAGCAGATGTTTACAAAGCGTTTTTGCTCAATGAAAAAAGAAACATTGAAAGTTCTAGTCCAAATATCACAGTTGTATCCAAATATCATAGTTTTATAAAAGGGCTAGTAATTGATTTATACATAGAGGGAAATTGCTAATAATGCAATAAATTCGATATATAGTAAATTTCCAGAAGTAAAAAGCAGTGATAATTTGAGGAGATATAAAGTAAGTTCAATCAATCAGCGGCCAACCATAGACATTACGAATATCAGTATATGATATTTGTCGAAAATAACCGAGGTAAATATGAGTTAATTAGGTCATCTGCATCTTAAAGTTAAGATAAGAAATTGTCTTCTCATTCCAAAGATAAGATAAAATAATGTATTCAAGACAAGATAAGAGTTATGGATAAAAGAGTTGTATTTTAAATTATCAAAATTATTAAGAATAAAAAAATAGTTGTATCATTAGCAAAGTCCCTTTCTGGAAGTTTGTTAATGTAGATAAAAAGTAATATGATATAGTCAGAAATAATATCTTGTGGTACCTCGGAGGTTAATGAAATGTGGTCCAATACAGATAATGTTGGGATTGTAGAGAAAAACTAATTTAAAAATAATTTGGAAAACCTTGATACACTATATGAACATAACTTATTGAGCAAATTTGTATAAACATTTGTTAAATAGTTTCCTGTAAAGAGTTTTTGCAAACATTTTTTTCTAGGCTGTTTAAGGAATGTTGTCTAAAGCACACCTTGCAGAAGATTATCTTATTAAAAATAACTTTAGAAATAAAAGTAATTAAAATCATAATTTTAATACAAAGTTAAAAGCATGTGAACACATGTTTGAATCAGGAACACATGTTTGAATCAGGAACAAATGTTTGAATCAGGAACACATGTTTGGATCATGACAAATCAAGAAGTGACAAAGTGTGATTAAGATTGTTTACAATATTAAGAAATTTGGTTGAGAGATTGTGAAAGAAGGTATTGAATCTTAATGCCAGTGTTTAGTGACAGACATTAGTACTAAAAATTCACCAAAAACCAGCAAAGGCAAATTGTCGGGTTGGTTTGACAAGGTTCTAACTGAAATTTTTTCCAAAATTGAGATTATGACTTTATTGGACTATTTGTATCATGACAAACAAAATAAACTAAAATTTACTAAAATCTAGTAAAAAATAAGCGAACTACCAATGCGCCAAAGTTCTAACTGCAGGGTTAGTTAATTAATATTTAGTTTGACAAGGTTCTAACTAACAGGTTAGGGTAAACCCTAACTGCAGACTATTCCAAATTTTTTTCAGTTAAATATATTATTATACATGATTCATGCTCATCAAAAGTTATGCATAAACATTGGTCTCAATATTCTCGTATAGTGTTCTAGTTTGGTTTTGATGTAAAAAAATATATATCACAAAAGAGCTCATATTTGCTATTTTTCTATAAATTTTTTTATAACCTTGAATTGTACAACAAAAAGTACTGGTTGAAATCACTATTGAAATAACTATTAAAAACAAAAATAAATTTCATAAGGTAAAACTCTTTTTTAAAATTTAATAATGACAATTCAGTCTTCTCACAAATTTACCTTAGTCGATGTAAGGACGTTTTGTCGGGCATATTCTTAACTGTCAGTTAATGTAAGGGTGTTTAACTGTGTCTAGCCCCAACAGTTATGCATGTTTATTACCCATCGCTTATCTCTAACAGTCAGTTAATGAATGTATAATTTTGAAAATAGTTAATGAACAAAATAAAATAACATTAATTTACTACATCATATACATTAGTAATGTTTAAAAAATTGAACAATTTGTAATAAAATGTTATTAGCAATGTTAAAAAGCAGATTGTGTTATAAATAAAAAAGATTTTAAAAATGATACAAAAAGACTTTTAAAAGTACTGTAAAAAGATAGTAATGTTAGAAATGAAATTATTTTTATGAGAGAAAGCAAACTGTGATTAACTTGCCAGCATACTATACAACAACCACACAACAATACTGAGCATTATGGACTGAATCAATGGTGGACAATACCGACAAGAATGTTTCTAGTGCCTTTTGCAAGATATTATGTTGTGGCAGAGGAAAAGCATCATGAGCAATATAGTTACTTGGTCTAACTGCTGCTTCTCTCAAAATTGGAACAGAATAATATAAAATAGTGTGTTACATTACAAAATAACTACTTCCTAGTCATTTATGTTACTACAAACGTTTATATTGCTACAAAGTACTTACTTCCTAGTCATTTGTGTGTCCAGAAAGTGGATCATGCGCATAATTAAGTGAAAAACTCACAAGGGTAGCTGATTTTTATATTCCACTTGGAAAGGACCCTCAAACAAGTTAATGGAAAAAATTCATATCATTATGTTATTCAAATAAATTTACAAGACTTTAAGAACTATTGTTTAACAGTAAAGCTATTTAACTACAAATTAGTTTTCCTAATATTACTGTGCTAAAATTATCTATCCATGATTGAAATGAATCTATGACTTGTGCTAATGTCAAATTTAATGAATAAAAACAGATAAAATGATGGCACTAGCCCATCAACTTCTGGAGTTTTGAATGTTAAACCAAAGATTTAAACTTGAACAATTTAAGGCTGTATTTTCTTTTGTTCTTCTCTAGGACTGAGATTACTAAAAAATAGTTCTTCACCTATAAAATGACAAAATGCGATAAAAAGCTTTTAAGCCATAACTTAATGGTTACTAAATATAATATAACAGTAGAATCTTGTTAGATATTATGGTATTTACTGTTTGTTATACTATTGTTTC